AGTTACTTTTTTGGATAGCAACTTACGAGATTATAGTTAAATGAAACCATTGAAAAATAAAGAAAGGTAAACAAGAGAAATGTGTTTTACTAAATAAGTTGAATAATGTTTTATTAACAAGAAATTTTGTTTTATTACAATGTCTTCATCCCACATCGATGGTGAGATTAAACAAGAGAACGTGTAACATCCAGAATTTCAGGTATTATATTTATTCATTTTATTTTGAGTTTTGTGGAAGAACTCGACGAATTGGTGCGTAGACTCGCCGAGTAGAGACACGATTTCTCATCCGGATTAATGACCAGCGAGTCGCATTGGTGGACCCGGCGAGTCAGCGTTGTTTCATGAAACCCTAATTTCTCGGGTTTGGGGCCTATTTAAAGGGCCTTATGGTCGTCATTTGTGCTCACCATCCCCTAGAGCAAAACCCTAGTGCACTTGAGCGTTTGGAGTGAGAGAAGGAGCCATTATCAACCTTGGAGGTGTTGTCTAGCAAGGGAAAGGAAGTTTTAGCCAAGAGGAACAACTTCCTGAAGATTTGAGGTCCAGAACATCACATTTGAGGTACCATTTTCGAACCCTTTTTTGTTGAGGTGATGTTCATGTTGATTTAGGGTTTATTGAGCCCCTTTGTGGCTAGATCTAGTGCCCATTTGGTCCCTTAAGCGAGTTAGGTTCTGGATCTGGACCCTTGGAGGTCCAGAGTGTCCCTTTATCTAAGCTTTTTATGAATCCATGAAGGTTTTGGTTTGGGATCTTTGTGTTTGAGGTCAAAACACCATTTATGAGTCATTAGGTGTGATATGAGCACTAAGACATGAACTTTACGTGATAAATAAGGTTGGAAGGACTGGATCTATGAGTTAGTGGAACAGATCTGACCTTAGAAGGTCGTTTGGGGTAGTGCATGGGATGCACTCACCGAGTCCATTGACAGACTCGACGAGTTGGTGCGGGTTGTTCATAGATTTCGAACCAAGGGTTGAGTAACCGAGTTGGGTGAGTGACTCGGTGAGTCGGAAGGGACTCATAGGAAATGGGGTCCTCGTAGAGACTCGGCGAGTCCACGCCAGACTCCGCGAGTTGGGGTTGACCATTGACCATTGACCAGAGTTGACCGGTGTTGATTTGATAGGGTTAGTCAACCTTAGTTTGGAAAGTGTTAATTAGAGATGTATTGTGTTATAGGAGGACTATAGCTCGGGAGATCGAGCACTAGTGATTTCAGGGATTTACGAGTTACCGAGATACGCGAGGTGAGTCTTCTCACTATACTTTACCTTGAGTAGGTAAATAGAGTTATGTGATACAGTGCTTTATATATATTGTTTGTTGTACTGCATTCTTCTATGCGATTTATGCTGTGCATGCTTGCAGAGTTAGAACCTGAGGGTTCACAGAGTTTGGGTGCACGGACCCACAAAGTTCTAGCCTCGAGTGGCTAATATGTGTTATATGTGGTATTTTGGGGAACTCACTAAGCTTTGTGCTTACAATGTTTTGTGTTATGTGTTTCAGGTACTAGTGAGGATCGTAGGAAGGCGCCAGCTTGATCAGTACACACACGGGATTTTTATGATATGAGATCTTGGGATATTTTTATATGTTATAAATTGAGTATCAATCAATGATGTTTTTATGATTTACAAGTGAATTATGTTTTTATAAATGCGAAAAATTGTTTTGGAAATTTACGGTGTTACAAGTTGGTATCAGAGCCTTGGTTTGAGGAATTCAGGTACACCTTCTGGAGTATTTGAACTCAAACTGAGGATTTGGAAAATATTTTCTAAAGAGAACCAAATTTTCTAAAAAATTAAAAGATTTTTAGAGAAACACAGAGCAGAAACGTGTGTACGATCAGTCAGCTCCCGAACGGTGGTTTCCTAAAATACCCTTATGTTATATGTTTATGAGATTGATATGATGTATTCTCTTGCTAGTGTGGGCTAGGTATTCCTATTAGGACTAGAGTGACCTGATTTGTGATGCCTTAGCCTAGGGAGAGGTGAGCTGCTATGAGATGCTTGAGAGTGAGTAGGTAGCAGCAAGGAGCTTATGAGAGATCTGTTAGAGAGTGGATTATGCATAAGTAGAGTACTTGGGATTTGGGATCCGAAGAGGAGGACTTGGGGTGTATACTGATACGGTGCGGACAGTAGTATTGGGCCCGTACTACTGAAAACACCGGGGCGGTGTACAATCCAAGTAGGAATCTTTGCGATGCCAGGGATCAAGGAAGGATGAGTTATCGAGTGCGAGTATACTCGAGTGAATTTCTAATATATTGTATGTTGTATTTTAGAGGTAGATCATGGTGAGGACACGTCTTATGCCAGAGAGCAGTGGGGCTAGTGATGAAGAGATCCGCCGGATCATCCATGAGGAGGTGGTCGCGGCCATCAGGGCAGAGATACCAGAGATGTTCAAGTCTATTAAGACCACGTTGATTGAGACTTTTGAAGAGCGTTATGCTGCTCTTTCTGAGGCCGTTGTTGCAACGGCCACCGCAACTGTTGCTGCTGCGAGGCCGCAAGGTGGTGATGCGTTACTGTTCCGAGAGTTCAGCAACACAAAGCCACCAGAGTTTGATGGGATGTAGGATCCGATTGCAGCGATGAGATGGGTGTCTGACATTGAGGGTTGTTTCTACACATGCTCGTACCTGGAGCACTTGAGGGTTCGATTTGCGTTGAACCAGCTTCGCCTGGGGGCAAAGGACTGGTGGAAGTTCACGACGGCACACTATTCTCCAGCAGAACTTGCTGCGGTGACCTGGGAGAGGTTCACCACTATGTTTTGTGATGAGTACGTTCCTCCGGTGGAACGGGATTGGTTAGTACATGAGTTTTTGACCCTCAAGCAGGGTACAAAGTCCGTTACGGTTATCACCAGGATGTTTCATGAGAAGGCGATGTTTTGCCCTGAGCACGTGTGATCGCAGCAGGCACGTATGAGCTATTATTTGAGTATTTTACTGAGAGATATTCGAGAGTTCGTGGTAAACTCCTCGTACCGGACATTTTCCGAGCTTCAAGCAAATGCTCGGAAGAGGGAGATCGAGCTAAAGACTCAGGAGATGGAGGAGGCGGAGTCTCAGGGTAGGGATCAACGACCGACACAGTCTCAGCCGGCAGCCAAGCGGGCTAAGCCCGCTGATCCTAGAGCAGGGAGCCAGAAGGGTCGCACTTGTGGGAAGTGCGGAAAGGGTCATGATGGAGTTTGTAGAGCTGGATCTTGCTACAAGTGTGGCAAGGAGGGGCATATGGCCAAGGACTGCCCCAAGGGGTTTGCAGTGTGTTTCCACTGCAACCAGACCGGACACCAGAAGGTAGAGTGTCCGCAGTTGCGGGGATCAGCTCAGGGAGCACCTCAGGGATCTGCCCCTGCTACAGGTATGTCAGCACCTTAGAATGGATTGACATGGGTATGTCAGCACCCCAGAATGGCTTGACACAGGTAGGTCAGGCACTCCATAATTGTCCGACAGTATGTATGATTGTATGGTATGTGGTATGGTGGGTGAGCTCACTAAGCTCCATAGGTAGGTTGGGCACCCTGGAATTGCCCAACAATATGTATGATTGTATGGTATGTGGTATGGTGGTGGAACTCACGAAACTCCATGCTTACTGTTTTTAGTTTTGGTTTCAAGTACCTCTTCAACTTAGGGGAAGGACCCGACAGGGTAGCAGCGCATTGCACACACATGATTTCCGCTTTGAGAACCTGGGATTGTACTCTGACATTTTACTATTTGATGTTATGGTTTTCGAGACTTGTGATTTGTGACTTGATGTATTGAAATGATAGCAAGGATGTTTTCCGTAAACTATTTTTATAAGTAATATAATTAAACACAAAAAATTTGGGTCTCGATTTTGGGATGTTATAAAACATGTTGAAAGTGTAGGAGTTAGATAGATGAAAAGGCAAGCATGGTTGTTGGAAGGCAGAGTAGATTGTGAGTTTAGATGAAAAAAATTAGAAAGAGTAGGAGACGAGGAAGTAGAAGATGAGATCGTGAGAAGGAGATTGTGGTTAAAGGGACTGTATATTTTGAGAGAGAACAAAAAGCTGAAAATGAAGTTTTGATCTAGATGACTAAATCATTTACATTAAAAAAGAATATAAACACAATATTTAATTTAACATTAAATACGATTTTTCTATATAAATATTGTATAATATAAAAAAAGTACATAGGGTAAAAGCATAAAAAAATTATAAACTTAGGAGTAAAACATAAAAAAACTGTAAATTTAAGGGTTTTTTAGCGAAGTTAATATAATAATAACTTCGAAATCTATTATCACCGGTAAAAAAGATATAGCCGAATATGTATTTTTTTTTTTTTTTGGAAAATATGAGAGTAAAAAAGGATATAAAATTTAACTTTAGCAAAACTGACAAAAATCTGAAAACTTGATGGTTTTTATCATATTAAATCTCTCTCTCTCTCTCTCTCTATATATATATATATATATATATATATATATGTGTGTGTGTGTGTGTGTATGTGTGTGTTAAGTATTATAGTTTCCATTAGACATGACCATCGTGTCGTGTCATGCGGTTCGTGTCGAAACAGTATACAAATTAAAGTATGTGATCCTAACCCAACCCAACCCGTTTAATTAACGCGTCGTGTTGTGTCAATTTGTTTATTTTCGTGTCGAGTTCATATCAGATTTCATGTTAGGATATACTATAAAATATTCCGTATCATGTGACGTTGAAAAACTAAACATGTTGAAAGCATACGAGTTAGGTAAACGAAAAAGACAAAGACAATTGTTGGAAGACAGAATAGATAGCAAGTTTAGATGAAAAAATAGAAAGATTATGAGTTGGGAAGGCAGTCATGAGAATGAAAGAGTGGTTAAATGAACATAATATTTTGGAAAAAAAAAATGAAAAGCTAAAAATAAAGTTTTTAATCTAGACGGCTAAGTAAAATCAAAACTGTCACTAATCGGGTTTTGTATGGTGTTTGCCACCACTAATTTCCATAAACATATATGCCTCTTTCATGTTAGTCTTGCATTGAAAATAAAAAGGACACCCTTTTAGGTACTTACCAACACGACACGTATACTAATTAATGACCATATTTTGTGGTTGTGGATAAATACTATCGTGATCTCATTTTTCTTCCTCAAACCTAGAATCATGGAGGTGAGCAATGATCCTATTGCAATGGCAACGGTGGCACCTCTTGCTCCGGTAACGAGTGAACGACCAATTCGGGATGATCTTGAGACCTCAATTCCGAAACCTTGTAAGTTCTTCTAACTTAACGATTGATGCATCAATGTTAATTTCTCTATATAGCTAGATTAATTTAAATTGTGTTCTTTAAAAGACTTGGCTAGAGCTTTTGTTGCACCCGATATGGAACATCCTGATGGAACACCAGATCACAACCCTCGTGGCATGAGCGTTCTCCAGCAACATGCTGCCTTTTTTGATCTTGATAACGATGGCATTGTTTATCCTTGGGAGACTTACAAAGGTGAATCCCCAAACTAAACAAACAACTCTTTTTTACTTCTTAATTGTTCGAGTTCATATTCGTTATGAAATAAAAAGCTAGTCAATTAGTATAGAAAATAGAGGCCCTACGCCGCTACCTACCATCAATTTTTTTTTTTTTTATCAATTATTATTATTATTATTAATATTATTATTATTATTATTATTATTATTATTATTATTTTATTTATTTATTTTTTATTTATTTTTTTTAAATTTAGATGCCCAACTAATTATCTTGTAGGCAGTAGGTTCACTCTGCCGTCCAATTTGATAGATTAATAAAAATTGTTTAGAATTATTATAATATAAAATTATAAAAAAAAATACCCAAAGATTATTATTATTATTATTATTATTATTATTATTATTATTATTATTATTAAATCTAACGACCCTCTCAATCTTATAGGGTTTCGAATGCTTGGCTTCAACATATTGTTCTCTCTCTTCAGTGGGATCATAATAAATTTGCTATTAAGTTACTCATCTCTCCCAGTAAGTTAAAATTTAATAAAATTCATTATTATTGCAATTTTTGTTTCTGTGGTTTTATTATATTCGTATTTTTATTCCACACTTTGAAATTTAACAAAATACATTCTTATGGTTTAAAAACATTATGCTGCACATCCTTGGTGTATTTGAAAAAAGCATTTTACCATTATTTTTATACTTTTGTTTTTCTTTTATATATATATATATATATATATATATATATATATATATATATATATATATATAATTTTTTTATCCCTTTCGAATACAACATTCATAACATAAATGAATACTTTTGATAGTGAATACTATTGATTATATTATATTGAAAGCAATATATAGAGCACATGACCGGACATAGTATAGAGCACATGGTGGTTTGAACAATCTTTCAGATTTTTTGGTGTAATGTTTTTTGGGAAAATTTTCGGAGAGGGTTCAGCTATTTGGATCGTTTTTATTTTCTTAAAAGATCCTTTAATAATTACTTTAATAATTACTTTAATAATTACTTTAATTTTTTTCTTAAAATAAGCTAATCATTACCAAATAATTATCTTTTTATTATTATTACATAATATTAGATCCTCATGATTATTTTATATTTTACTTTAAATAAAACTAATCATTACATAATAAAATGACTTAATATAAAGATTTGTTTATAGAAAAAGAATATTATTTTTATAAATAAGTATTAAAATAAAAGTGTTTATTTTTTTTCAAATATACAAAATAAAATATTTTAAACAAAAAAATTTAATTTATTTTCGGTTTTTAGTGCAATTTATTAAAATCATTTTTATATGAAAGCATAATAATAAGTGACTTCAAATACGATATAATAATAATACTTAGTTTTCATTTAAATATTTAATATCATTTTATTTTTATTTTTTGGTTTATATAAATATTAAAATATAGAAAAAAAACATTGACATGTTTGTATTATTATTTTATTATAAAAAAATAAAATATATAATAAATAAAAAGTTTATAGAATTAAATGATAAATACGAGTTTCAAAAAAAAATAAATTTTAATAATCATAAAAGCTATTAATATTATAAATGCACGAAAATTTATGCCTTAAAAGTCATTAATGAGGGGTTCTTTAAAAAAATCTGGAGTCTAATTAATAGGACCCTATATACAAACCCTAACTAATGTAACCCCTCTCTCTTTGTTCTGGGTTATTAACAAATTTATGGTTGTGTGTTTGAGATATTCATTGAAATTTGAAGTTAATCATTACTACAAACAACCTTATGTATATATTGCAGGGTTACATACCATCTCTTTTGTTGCCAATTTACATATCCAACATTCATAAATGCAAGCATGCAAGTGATTCTGGGACGTATGACACAGAAGGAAGGTACTTTATTTACTAATAAACTCCTATATGTAAACATAAATTTGTACTATTTTAAATTTTTGAGAGATCATATATGAAAGTTGAAATTTGAAACTTCCGATCAAATCTGAATATGCAAATTAGTTACTAGTATGCCAATCATAGTACATATTATGTATCAAAAGTTAATAGTGATTCTTATTTAAAAGATAATGTAAATAGTGGTATCTCAGAATTTAATCTTTTGTCACTCATGCCACCTATACCCTCGTATATTTGGAATTATATAAATATCATGTTAATGTCATGTCATTTGTATAACTGTAATGGCTAAATATTAATTATGAAATAACATTATCTTTTTACTAATTTGTATAACAAATGATCCTTAACAGTAATTATGTGTATCAATGTATATATTTAAACCGACTAAAATATTACAGATAAGATTTTGTATTATTAATATTTAAAAAGATAGTTCCATAGTCCATACAAAAGTTGCTTTATTATATAAATTAAAAAGAATAACACTCCGTTTTTAAGCTTTCTTAAGAGAGAAAATGAGGAAATGACATGATTGAAAGTGAAAAAAATGTTTTTAAGGTTTTTTTTAGGATATAAATGAAAGGGAAAAAGAATGCTTTTACCTTTTATTGCTGGTAGATTCTTTCAAATGTAAAAATGTTATTTTATAGTGATATTTCTTCCACTCCTCTTAAACTCAAAAACACATATATCACATCCCTTTTCTCCTTCCACATTCATCCCTTTCTCTTCCTTCATTTTTCTTCTTCCTCTTTAATTTTTACACTTGGGAACAAGGTATAATTAACAAAGATTTTTTTTAATGATTGAACTTTATGCACAATACAATATCAACATTGCAATTACTTTCATTTTTCAGGTATCTTCCAGTTAATTTTGAAAATATATTCAGCAAATACAGCAAAACAAAGCCCGATAAACTAACATTGAAGGAGCTATGGAACTTGACGGATGGAAATCGTGTTACATTTGGCACCATCGGATGGTTTGTGCTACATATATTACAATCAATTTTTTTTTTTTTGCATTATTTAATCTGTTTGCTAATTGAATAAGTTTAATCAACTACAGGCTTGTAAACAAGCTAGAATGGGGAACTGCATACCTTCTTGCTAAAGATGATGAAGGTTACGTATCAAAAGAAGACATTAGAGGTATCTTTGATGGCAGTTTATTCGAAAAAATAGCAAAGAAGAATTCGGTTGAGGGTAAAAAGAAGCGTTGATAATGATCCATATGGCTATATATATATATATATATATATATATATATATATATATATATATATATATATATATATATATATATATATATATATATATATATATATATATATATATAGTGTTTGATTATTATAATTAGAATAATAAAATATTTGAACATGACAACAAGAAGACATGGATTGATTTATGGATGCATTTTATCTATATTATTTATAATAATGTATCATGCATCGTAATGTAATCATTTTGGAACTACATGCAACACATACACGCATGTATATCCATACCTAAATCTCTTAGTTTTCTACACTCGTTCTTCCATATCTCTTAGCTTTGTACACTTCACATAATAATTAATTTATGTGAGAATGTGGCCACAAAAGGGTTTCCTTATAACAAATTCAGACTATGTGTTGAATCTTATGCTTCATGGCATCATAGAAGGCTTTTCTAGCTCTTTATTGCTTTTGACACCAATATGGCCAAATTGAGGTGAAATAGAACTAATAATAATTAAGAGAACTTTTCGGTGATGTGATGGAGCTAGTAGTTAAAGATACATCACCAGGTTCTTATTATATGATACATTTCTATGTATTACGTGTTGAATTCAGACTTGATCTGATGATTAATATTATTAACTAATAACATATTAGTAGGTAATCTTAAACAAACAAGATGATAGATAATATTTATAATTAAATATCCAAATGTTCTAATGTAAGCAAACGACTAATGATTAATATTGAGAATAAAACGTTAAGAAGTTGCAAATAATAAATTCAATTATTATTAATATTGCTACCGAGTTTCATTTAGAAATCAAAATGTTCTTTAACGATCACATCTTATTATAAGAAATGAGTAGAAGTAGAATGTCCTCATGAATTTAAATACCAAAAAATAAAATTAAAACCAACATTGTTATTTCACATATTTATGTCACTAGCTAGGAGCAATTGTGTCGGTCTGCTCCATCTCTTGATTCATTTAAAACTTTTGAGAAAAACTTTTGATTTTAATTAAATTATATATTTAATAAATAACTATATATGAATTTATTCAAGATATTGTACAAAATTTGGGTAGTCCAGTAGGTAAAGACACCTCTTTTATTCAAAATCAATAGTGGGTTCGATTGATAACATTTTTGGATGTTTTACATTCCAAGTTACAAATTTGGTCATTTCTTTGTACTATATATTTCATAATCAATATTTCATAATCAACCTATGTTTAATAAATCAGTTTTCTAAAATTACATAATTAGCTCGTGAATTTTTTATAAAATTTCATATGTTCCTTTTTAATTAATTAATTTACTTTTAATTTCCTTAACGATAATTCATCGTTTTAAATTTGTTTCCTTATATATTAAAAATGGTATTTAGGATCCTATTTTTCTTCTTAGCACATACCCTTAAAATCAACGAGCCGGCCGTGTTAGTCAACTTGCTATTATACTTCAATAATTTCCAACATTACATATATGATTAGTTTCTTAAAAAAATAATAATAATAAAAAATCGTATCATCTTTAATGGGCTAAATAACCAGTTTGCCAATTCTTGCAAGACTATTGTGTCAAGCTTTCTACTTTATGACAACCTACACAACCACAATTTTTTTGATGGTTCATACTTTGTTGGTGGGGTTTCATGACTTTGTACTTGATAACTTAATGAGTAAATCAATCATTGTCATTTGTATCAAGTGGACCATACCTTCTTATTGTACTTGAACAAGAAATCAATTATTGTCCTACGTATTAATTGCACAATACTTTCTTATCAGTTCATTGTTTAAATGCCAACTTCAATAATTTCTAGGGGTGTGTATTGTTTGGCAAAACCAAATAATCGGTCAAACAAAAGCATTTTAGAATGTATGGAAAGTCATTAACAATACAATCTGGTATGGAACTTCTAACTTTTGAATGGTCTCTTGTTCGTTTATATCGTCATTAACAACAGCGAATCTTAGTAGGAGCCCAAGAGGATAAGCGATGTTACTCTTCAATTTTTTTGGTGCATTGTAAAATTCTGAATGATATATATATCCATAAATTTTACTCCTAATATTTTGTTTTGGATCCGCCGGGTTTTTTTTTTTTTTTTTTTTTTTTTTTTTTTTTTTTTTTTTTTTTTTTTGAGAAGCTAGATGAACCAACAGCAAAGCAAGTACAAATAAATAAAAGGAAAATGGAAGTGTATAAGTTACAAACAAGCAAAAGGGGACATCCCCCAATCGCACCACCTAATGATACCCATATAACCTCTATGTTTCAGCTAAAGGAACACCAATGATTATATGTCACCAGCTATTTTTGTTGGAGTTGGTTTCATTTGTTTAAAAATACGATCATTCCGAGCCTTCCATAAACCCCATAGCATTCCATAACAGATAATAAAGAAGACCCTCCTTTTCTTATGACAGTGACCCCAACTTGCTGCAAACTTCAGTAAATCCGTCATAGTACTCACTTGCCCAAGGGTTATGCCACACCACCTCATCACCCATTCTCTGACTGCCGTTGCAAAATCACACTGGATGAATATATGATCTGCACAGTCATGAGAGTTTAGATAATACTCGCAATTTGGATTAGTAACATTGACACCTCTACCCAAAGAGCTGCAACTAAAGGTATTTTTCCCAACTTTGCCCTCCAAATAAAACAATTTACTTTCAGAGGGACCTCCTTCATTCATTTGGTTTTAATACCTAGTATAGGAGGGATGCAATCATCTGGTTTCTTACGGAGGGCCTCGACAGTATATAGACCATTTACCCTAAGGTTACATCTCCACATAACTGGTTCATTACTTGAGGAGAATGATGTAGTTCATTAAAATGTTTTGTTCCCGGTATGTATATAATTCATTAAAATGTTCATTTTATAGGAGTTACTCGACGAGTTGGTAGCGCTAACTCGTCGAGTAGAGGCAAGGCAAAGTGCGGGTTTTAATGAGGCTACTCGACAAGTCGAATCCCAGACTTGACGAGTAGGCCAGGCTGGATGAAACCCTAATCTTTAGGGTTTGCAACCTATTTAAGCAACATTATGGGCCTCTATTATAAACTCCATCACCTCCATAGCATTAATCCCGAAACCCTAATCCTCCATAAGTAAACTTCAAATTTCTTGGATATTTTGAGTGTTATTTGGTGTATCTTGAAGCTAGTGGAAGAAGTAGAAGATAGAAGACTCAAGGGAGAAGGAGTAGATCCAGGAACTACACCCCATTTGCCATCTTTTCTGATAGTGAAGCTTCCAACTTGATCTTCTTTCTCTTAGATCTATTTGTCCCCATATTAAGTATGTTTTGGCTCAAAAACCTTGGTCCTTGGTGTTGGGACGTCCCAAGTAGTTCATATCTTTGATTTAGGTCCTAGGGATGATTACATAGCATAAAGGTGCAAACATTACGGGCGTGAGAGCCCCATGCATCTTGTAGACCTCATTTTTGGGTCTTTTGAGCTTAAGGACCCATGAATGGACGTAATGTTCTTAACTTTACATGTTATATCAACCTTAAGAGGCTAGATCTACCCATTGGATGAGATGAGCTCAACAAAAATCGAGTTTATGGACATGGACTTTAGGGGACTCGGCGAGTTGGGGATTGGTTCCCCAACCTTTGCTATTTCTGAGGAATCTGGTTGAGTTTAGAAGGGGGACTCAACAAAATGGACGAGATTAGGGACCTGGAACTCATGGGACTCGACGAGTGTATGAGCAAACTCAGCGAGTCCAAGGCAATCTCCTAACCCATTGAGACGAACTCGACGAGTTGTTCATATAACTCGGCGAGTCATAGACTGGACACATTCATATGAAGAAGATGAACTCGAAGAGTTCAAGGATGAACTCGCTGAGTCGGTTGAAGATAGTCCCGATGTTGTGGTTGAAGGAGAACTCATCGAGTTCTTGCTAGACTCGACAAGAAGAGTCGGGGATGATGTCATTTTGAATACATGGGGACTCAACGAGTTGGTGGACCAACTCAGCGAGTTAAGTTAACTGGAGGTTCACTTTGACCTGGATGTTGACTTTGGCCAAGTGTAAAATGGTCATTTTACCGTAAGAGTAGTTATCAGTTTTTGACTAAGTGTCCTTATGGAATTTATAGTCGGGGAGTCACCAGAACAACATGCAGGGATTTCTCGTTCGGATTTCAGTAGACAGTCAACTTTACAAGGTGAGTTTTCCTTCGATAGGAACGAGTCTAAGACACCAATATCAGCATGTTTAAGTAGTTATAGTATGTCGGGGTAAGCCCGATGTCGGGGTTAGCCCGATGCAGTTTATATGTTTCGGATTTTGATCCGATGTCGGGGCGGTCCCAAGAAGTAGTTACGAATGCTTAATGTATTTGTGATTCATGCATGTTTATATTATGTGTTATATATTCCAGACTCTGGTCCGATGTCGGGCAAACCCGATGTATGTTAGTTATTATGCGATGCATTATGTGTTCCGAGGAAAGCCCGATGTATGCTAGTTTATATGTTATATGTTATATGTTTCGCGATTCGGTCTGATGTCGGGGCGACCCTGATGCAGATTGTTGATTATGTTATGTGTTTATGGTATATGTTATGTTATGTATGTGTCGGGGTAAGCCCGATGCCGGGGTGATCCCGATGCCCGATGCGGTCGAATGCCGGGGTGAGCCCGATGCCGGACAGGAGTCCAATGTTGGGTAAGCCGATGGCTGGATTCGTCCCGATGCAGTTGGGAGTAGTCTCATAGTTATGTTATTTGTTATATGCTAAGTGTATGGTATGTGGGAGATTGGGGGAGCTCACTAAGCTTTGTGCTTACAGTTTCAGTTTTGGTTTCAGGTACTTCAACTAGCAAGGGAAAGGGCTCAGGTTGATAGCATGGCACACACCACAGTTCTTTTAACCAGGGAGATTACTTTGATATTTCATATGAGATTAGTGATATTTTGACATAAATTATGACATTTTAGACACATGAGTTATGATTTGATATTATGGTGATGATGTTTATGTTTACTAACTAATTTTGAAAACGAAATTTTTGGATCAAATTTTTGGGATGTTTCAAGTTGGTATTAGAGCCTTGGTTTGAGGGATTCAGGAATACTTTCAGGTGTTTTTGAACTCAAACTAAGGAAGTGGCATAATGTTTTCAAAGAAAAACCATGTTTATAAAAGGATTTTGAGCAAGGAAAACAATTTTAGAAAAGTATAAGAATCTTGATAAGAGAAAAGGGTGTGGTGCATGCAATCAACCGAGCTAGAGTAAGTACTCCCAAATTACCCATACAAATTTATGCTATACTATGATTATCAACTTTATTAGAACAACATGCTAGATTACAACTAAGGATCTAGGAAGGATACCTTATGTGCCTGTTATATGTGTTACAACTTTATGAGAACTGCATGCTACTGAATTGTCTGTATGATAGCCAGAGTAGTATATGTTTGATTATGTATACTCGATGCTCGAATGTTGCTTGCTTTGTGCTTTTAGGAGTATTAGTTTTCTTTTACT